TGGCCTCATCTCCTTAGTTTAAACGTCTGTTCATAGGCATGGGATTTGACTTGCTAGCTTACGGCGCATTTATTGCTTGTGCATGGCCTCCACGCTAGTGACAAGACTTGACCTTTATGCTTATGACAGACATTCCATCAATCATTTGAATAAGATCTGTGCAGGCGATCTGACGGGAGAAGTGACCATGGAGGATATTTCCTTGTGGTTGAGGCTCGCGCATCAACTCCGGGGCTTCGTCCATTCGAGGACCTCAGCTACGACAAAGACATTCCACGCCTCGGGCACGGAGCCTCGGTTAGATGCAGTTCGGATGTAACCCACCTCGGCAATGTGGCCACCTCGGCAGGAATGCCACGTGGGTCAGGATGAGTGGCCCACTGGCCCAGGTGGATAGGATGTGACAACACGCAACAATAGTCCCCCAAGTCCAAGTATGATCATTAATGTAATGCGTGGACTTTAACGGAGAAAAAGTTGAAAGAATTTTTGAATTTTTTGAACCGGTTTGAATGCCGAATGGCATATGAGGAAGTCGATGTGGTTGGGGAACCGAACCTGCGAGGCTTGAATGCTGAATGCGCCAGAAGAAGCCGAGGTGGTTGGGAAACCGAACCTGCGAAGCTTGAATGCTGAATGCGCCAGAAGAAGCCGAGGTGGTTGGGAAATCAAACCTGCGAGGCTTGAATGCTGAATGCGCCAGAAGAAGTCGAGGTGGTTGGGAAACCGAACCTGCGAGGCTTGAATGCTGAATGCGCCAGAAGAAGCCGAGGTGTTCAATGGTAATTATTGTGCTTTGGTCTCTGTGCCAATGATTTGATGTTTTGTGCTTGTTTTCAAGGAAAGGTAGCTGAACCGTTACGACTTCCAAGGTGCTGGCGCCGACGAATTAAAAATGCAATTATGAGAGCAGCTGGCGTTTCTAGAAGCAGACGCGCTGAAGAGGTGCGTGTGAGGTACGCATAGATAGGAGGCGTAGGATTTCAAAAACTGTTTGAATTCAACGCCTCGGATTGGATCTGAAACGGAGGGCTCGGATTGACTGAGATTTGATCTGACGGGTGGGGTTCGTCTTGGACCTTTATAAAAGGCGAGAAAATCCCACTTTCCAGAAATTTTGAACACTTTGCATTCTCAAATTCTCTCAAATTTCCCATTTTCCGGCGTCGAGGTTGTCTGCGATTAGATTCCGACCGGTCTCCGTTTGTGTTGAACTCTTTTAGGTATTGTTTGCATAAAAAACCGTTGTTATTCTTTGTCCTCAAACAATGGAGTCCACTTTGGGTAGGGAACTTGTCACAGTAGTGTCTTTTGACCATGGGGTAGGTCATGGGGGGACTTCCGAGGTGGAGAGGTATGCCATGGCCGAAGAGGACGTGGATTATACCCAGGAGTGGGGGGCTTCTAGAATGCCCTCAAACATGACGGGGAAGAGGTTGGGGGAGCTTAGGGAGAGGTACAGTGTGCCTCATAACATAGAGATGTTAGTCCCCGAACCGAACGAGCGGGCCTGCTATCCGAGGCCCGGCTGCGTGGCCGTGAGTGAATACCTGTTTAAAGCAGGTATGCGTCTTCCTTTGCACCCCTTCTTTAAGACGGTGCTTAGGAAATTTATGCTGTCGCCAACCCAGGTTCTGCCGAATGGGTGGAGCCAGCTGGTCGGCTCGTACTTCCTGTGGAAGGAAGTTTCACTTGGGGAGGACATGCCCCTTCATGTCTTCATGACCCTGTTCCAGCCCCGGGTAATTGGGAAGGAGTTAAGGGGGTGGTACTACCTCACGCCTTGGGGGGCTCACGCACCCTTTGTGGTGGGACTTCCTTCCTCTATCAAGGGGTGGAAGGAGTCCTGGTTCTGGGTGCGAGGTAAATGGCAGGCAGTGGAGGGTGACAAAGCCCTATCATACATAGTGCCGACCCAGTACTACGAAGCTCCTGAGTCTCCCGACCTCTGCTTGTCCTTTGAAGTCAAAATATGAATTCGTCTAACTGTTGAAGGTTCGTCTTTGCAGATAGTAGTACGAGGTTCGAGCTCAGCAGGGAGGAATTCGAGGTGATAGAGGATATTTACAAGAGGCCTCTAAAGCTTCGGCACTTTGATCACCTGATTGATAGAAGCAGATACTTCTTGGACTTTGGGCTGATGGCATCCAGAGGTATGGGGCTCCAACACACGATGTTTAACTTGAATGTTTTTTTTTTTATGCTAGTCTGTGGTGCAGATAAATTCAAGAAGAGGGAGTATCCAGCTCCAGACATGGCCTCTATCTTGAAGGCCACTTCTACTGCAAAGGCAAGGCCCCTGAAGCCCGGGTCCAGTGGAGCAAAGGAAGTTCGAGGCAGAGTTGAGCGCCTGTCGAAGGACTGCACTCCTAGGACCTTGGAGGAGGCATCTACTCAGAGGCCAGAGAAGCCTAAGGAGCCTCGAGGCAAGGAGAAAGTCTCTGAGGAGACTAAGAAGAGGAAGCTGGTGCACATCTCCAGCTCAGCTGGAAAGTTTGGGACTTCAGTGTCCTATAGGGCAGAACAGACCGGTGAGCCAAAGCTCCTTGCTACAGCCTCTAAGGCCATCAAAATGGAGATGGTAAGAGAGGTGGAGGCTGAAGAGGCCAGAGAAGAGGCTGCAAGGAGAGCTGCGGAAGCCGTCGAGGAGGAGGCGGCGAAGGAGAGGCCGGTTCGGGAGAAGGGGAAATCTCCCAACTTCCTAGCTGGGAGGGAGGATGAGCTGGCCCCAGCCTTGGTGGAGGCCCTCCCTGAGGAAATCAGAGGTGCCACCAAGAGCTTTTACAAGTTCTGGATGGAAAGGTGGCAGCTTCATGCTTCGTTTTGTGATGCCACCGACCTTACAAGGGCACTGGTGAGCCAAAGCGCCCGGACCTTTGGCCTCGCGCTCGAATGCAGGGAGGCATTAAGTGAATTTCAGACAAGGACTCACGCCTCAGAGGGGAAGGCTGCCTCCCTTGCAGAGGAGGTCAAAGTTGCTAAGGCCGAGGCCGAAGAGGCCAAAGCACAGAGGGTAGAAGAAGCGGCGAAGCTCGAGTCTGCTTTGACCCAAATCGAGGCCCTAAAGAGGGAAGTATATGAGTCACAGTGTGAGGTGGCCTCCTTGACAAAGAAGGTGGAGGTCTCCAATGAACACCAGAAAGTGACTGCTGAGGCTCTGGAGCAGGCGAATCTCGCCTTGGCCGGCGCTCGTGATGCCAATCAGTTTCTCGAAGGGCAGGCTAAGTGGTACATGAACGACGCCTCGGCTGCCAGAGAAGAGGCCCGAACTGCAGCGGAAGAGGCGATGAAGGCATACATCGCCAACTTCCACACCACAGAGGAGTACAAAAGCTTCAGCGCATACTGGAGGAACTTCGCCTATGTCGAAGTGCTGGAGAGGGCGGAGGAGCTTTATCCCAACTCGGACCTGGCACAACTCAGGTCCGAATTTGTGGATGAGGTTCCTCAGACCCCAGCTGAGGAGGTGCACGGTGATGAGGCAGCTGATGCTGAAGCCCCAAGTGCTGAGGCAGAGGAAGCAACTACTGATGCCCAAGTTGCTGAACCCCCAAGCGTGGAGGCGGCTCCTCCATCCAGCCAGGCTTAGATTAGGTTTCCTTTTCAATACTTTGTGTAATGGCCAGCGGCCCTCCTCTGTAATTCCTTTTGAATATTAATACAATGCTTTTCTTCACTAATTGTTGTTCTTTATTCAAGTTTTTGTGCCTCGTTAAACAAGCGGACTAGGAGTTGATTAAAGCACAAACTCAATAACTTTAACTTGGTATCTTAACATTAACCAATCAACAGTATGAGCCTCGAACTCAAGCAAATGAACATTACTGTGTGAGCCTCGGACTTAAGCAACTGAACATAACTTAAGGAGATGAACTTGACTGTGTGAGCCTCGGACTCAAGCAAATGAACATTACTGTGTGAGCCTCAGACTTAAGCAACTGAACATAACTTAAGGAGATGAACTTGATTGTGTGAGCCTCGAACTTAAGCAAATGAACACCTGTGTGAGCCTCGGACTTAAGCAACTGAACATAACTTAAGGAGATGAACTTGACTGTGTGAGCCTCGAACTTAAGCAAATGAACACAACTGTGTGAGCCTCGGACTTAAGCAA